CATGTCGCGATTGCATGATCGAAGGAGTTCGATCTCGATCGAACTCCTATAATATATATATATATATATATATATATTGTATACATGCATATGAACGCGATGCATGCATATATATCGCAGGATCGAACTCCTATATAAGGAGTTCGATCCTACACACTTTTGTTGTATAATATATACATGTACATTTTGTCTGTATGCATGCATGTTTTTTCGACACGTCGTTTGCATGCTGCTTGCTTTGTGCTGCATGATGCAATGTACATGCTAGCAGCCGCTTAAGCGATCGAGCATAGCTTAAATTCAACCATCGCGAAGCCATGCACCGGGATCGGTCGAGATCTCCTGTTGATGCTGCCCTCGAGTGGCGGTACAACTGGGAGAGTGACGGGGCATCGTGGTGGAAGAACTGGTGGCCATGCACGAAGGCCTGGATCCGCAAGAAAATCCGACAGGATCTGTTGCAAAGACCTGCAGAAGAGGAAGCAGCTGATGGTCAGCAGTCGCCGCGAAAGCGGAAAAGATCTGGGGATTGATCGAAGCGGCTTAATTAGAACATGCATGTCTTGCCCAGCTTGGGTCTCAATAAGTAGGATATCAGAGCAAGTGCCCGAAGAGACATGCGCCTCAGGTGCATGATCATGCTTGGCACAAAATAATGGCGATTCTATCCGCATGCATGCGTGCAGCCATGCAGTTTGCAGGGTTTGCTTGTCTTCCTTCGACCGCTGCCATGTGTCGCCGGGCCGGTTGGCTCAAGTTTTTGGACAGATCTGGTGGGCGGCCCGCTTTGCTGCAGGCCGGGCTGCCAGGATTCATGCATGGCATGGAGTGTCACAAGTTCTTAGGAGGCCACGTCTCCCAGTGGGAGGCGACCTCCTGCACGGCATGCATGTTCGCAGGATAAAGTGCAGACTTTTTCATGTACATGTGCTTGTGAAGTGCTTCTGAAGCATTTTGGCTCATGAGCACCATGATCACTAACCGAGCTGCCAACACGGCAACTGTTGAACAGGCTGCTAAAGCTTTGAGAGGCTGCTGCACAAGCCTGCACTCTGGGTATAAGGAAACAGACTGTGAGAAGATTTGCTCCTCGTACGAAGCTTTCATCTTGGACTTGTTAGACTTGACCCCGAGGCCCACGAAATTGTTGCTTGAAAAGGCTTGCCTCAAGGCTTTCGAGGCCACGGGTCCCAGTGAAGCTTCTTTTTTCGGCAGACAGCTAGCGGCAGCGGTCCAGTTTTGTAGAATCAAGGCGAAAAGCGTCTCGACAGGAGTTCGCGCTCATGGTTCGGTGCTTCGCATCATACAAAAGATGGAAAAAAATAAGGCTGCAGAACAAAAGTTCCAATTGGGACATATATGGAAGGGTGCGAAGCCCACCGTAGCAGCAGTAGCCGCACACGCCGTGGCTGATGCCAGGCCCCGCAGTAGATCTCGAGCAGCAACCGCTGCTGCTGCTGCTGCTGCTGCGGCCGAGCCTACTAGTGCCAAGCCTACTAGGGCAGTTTCCATCGGATCCGTGTCGTCCACCGGAAAACAGTCCGCTGCTGACATCTTCGGGCTTAACCGGCGAGCCCGAGAAGATGGAGCACATGGAGCCCGAGGAGATCGAGCAGATAAGCTCGAGTGAGGAGGTCCAGCCTCTTCCAAATGATCAGCCTGATGCTGCTGTGACGTTCTTCGATCAAAAAGCATGCACATGGAAGACAGTCGACAAGAGCGGCCAAATGCATGAGGAACCAGGCCATGCTCGCCCAGGTGTTCCAGACCGTGTGCTTCGACACCATGACGAGATCCTGGCCAGGCCTGTTGCAGCCCTTGAGCCCTTGTCTTCCCGAGGCCTCACCGAGACGGAGGACAAGGAGGCTGGCAAGAAGAAGAAGAAGAAGAACAACAAGAAGAAGGACACGGGCGACACGAAGCCTAAGGCCAAGTCGGCTCCGAAAGCCAAGGGCAAATCCAAGGCGAAGGCCAAAGCCAAGCCCAAGCAAAAGGCCGAGGCAGAGGTCAAGCATGGGGGCGGCGAGGTGGCGACGAAGACCGATCCGGAGCCTGATGAAGCTGAGGCCAAGTCGAGTTCCAAAGCCAAGGGCGGATCCAAGAAGGCCAAGGTTCGCAGTGCCGAGGACGATCCTGAGATTGGGGCCCTTCAGATTCTCAAGAAGCCAGCCGCTCTTCAGGCGGCGGAGGGTGAGATTCTCAAGAAGCCAGCCGCTCTTGAGGCGGCGGAGGCTGGAGATGAAAATGGAAATGGAAATGAAGAGGAGAAGGGGGGCCCGGAGATTCAGGACAAGCCCAATGGGTGGAAGAAGATGCTGTTCCAGAGGGGTGGCAAGCAGAAAGGGACCTACTTCATCCTGGTGTCGCCCCAGAACTCGCGATATCGCACCCGTCCCGCGGCAACGGCTGCCGGCTACGTGTCGGAGTGATATTTAAATATTTAAAGGGTTTGAGCTAGGAAAAAGGTGCCATGCTTGACACGAGGGTTATCAGTGCATGCATGTTTGTTTCTGTCCTTCTGCTTCTGCTCTCATGTCAACATGTCAGTTCTGTATACATGTTTCGTCTCTGCAGGTACTGCCGTCGACGTCCTGGACAAGCTGCTTCTCTTCCGGGTCTTCTCCGGCCGGTGCCCAACCCAGTGTTCCTGTTCAGTTGCATCGACTGCCATGTTTTACATAATTCTGTAGTTTGGGATGGCAACATAAGTGGGGATTCTTGTCTGGTCGAGGAGTCACGAATTAATGCGCTTTTGGCTGGCTGCTACGTCCTCCTAACGCACCCAAGAGCTTCAAAGGAGGATGCAGCATGATGTGCATGACCCGCTGCAGGCACGGGCAGATCTCTTCGAGCTGCCGCTTCACTTCCGGCTGGTGCCCTCCCAGTGTTTGCGAAGTGCATGAGGGCTTGCAGGTTCGGAGGGTCTTTGTCAGAATGGTTTCAACTTCAGGTTTCATGTTTCAGGGTTAAGTGTCAGTTTCAGCTTTGATGTTTCAGGAATCGGTTGCAGTTTCAGGTTTGATGTTTCAGGGTTATAAGGATGACTGTCGTCCTCCTGTGATGTTCAAGTTGGATTTCCATCAGTTTCAGGTTGGATGTTTCTAGGAGGACTATTAGTCCTCCTATGATGCATGCATTGGATTCCGCAGGGGTTGCAGGCTGTATGCATGTGCATATATAGGATGCATGGCACATGCATCCTGATTCCGCACCCCGTGAGCTTTTGCTATCAAGGGGCCCACCTAGCATTCAATTCGATCTCGCGATCGCCATGGGAGCCAATCAGAGCTCTGGCAACGGGGCCCAGGAGATCCTGGCTGCGGTCAACCGGCTTTCGACAGCAGTCGAAAGCCTGCAGCAGACGCCGCCCCCGGGTGCACCGGGGCCCAACACAGGGCCGTCGACCGTGCCAGCCCCACCCCCACCCGTGTTCCCCCAGCCTGCTGCACCGGGGCCCAACACAGGGTCCGTGCCATTCCCCCCGATGCCACCGCCGTCGCAAAGCCATGACGACCAGAACCGTCTGCGGTACTGCAAGTTCTGCAAGCAGGTTAGCTACTGGCGGAAGGGCATCTGCCTCAACGAGTCCTGCCGTGTTCCTCGGAGGCATTTATTATAGCTGTTTCTCATGGTTTGGTTTTGTAACTATAATTTTAAAATCATCGAGCCCTGCAGTTGACCTACGTCGACGTGAAGGACCTGAATGTTGCCAAGACGTGGGCAGGGAGGGAGATCACCTCCAGCTCGGATATGGCATGGTATGTTCAGAACCAGCGCAAGAAGAAGAACAAAGGTGGCTGGTGTTGCATTATGCATGCATGTTGATGTCTGTGCTATAGATGCTTCCATGCATGTTTGTGTGTGTCTCCAGCTGAGGTCTGAAACGCAAAGCTTGGTGGGCGGACCGCAACAATCGTTACTCCAAGGCCAAGGGGGATGGCGAGGACTGGTCCAAGGCAAAGGGGGATGGCGACGAGGAAAATGAAGAGAAGGAAGATGAGGCACCGGATGCTCATCATGAACCCCTCCCGGGTTCGAAGGGCCCCGATGGCAGTGATCCTGACCCAGACAATAAGGGCCCAGGTTTTGGCGGTGCAGGCGGTGGATCAATTGGCGGTGCAGAAGGTGGATCAATGATCCCAATGCTGACTGTGTAATGCACAGGAGGCACGATCGATCGTATGAGCATCGCGGGTCAAAAGACTCCTTAGGAGTTGCATGCTTTGCACTCCTGTTGGCTAAAGGAGTCTGCTGCATGCCTTGCATTCATGCACCATGGATGCATGCAGGTACATCTCCTACACAGCTCTGGAAAGGAGGCTCGCCCGGGTCTCCTGCACAAGAGCTTGGTCCCGGGATCTGTCAACATGTTTGTTTCAGCTGTAGGAGGAGAGTGCAATTGCTTGCAACATGCATGCAATGTATTCCTCCTGGATCTATATATATATATATATATATATATATTCTTTAAACCCTAAACCCTAAACCCTCAACCTTAAATGCTATTAAAGATACTACAAACATATCAATATATGTTAATTTATTTAGTGCATGTATATAGAATATATATATATATATATGTTACATCATATGCAAACAAGTGATATGCTTGCCTGACAATGGGTGGCGGCTGCTGTGGCAGCAGGAGGCAAACCTCCTAGTCTCCTGGATCGTCGAGGAGATTTAAATTAAACCTATATATGTATATATATATATATATACAAACCCGGATAACCGGAATCAGAATGGCCCAGCCTGCCTGTTGCCGAGGTTGCAACGCCGATGTCCGGAGGATCTTCGACCAGGCGCTTTTTGCCCGTTCCGATTTTTAATTTTTGAAAGAGTCAGAAATTTAACTCCATTTAACTGGGATTTAACTTCGTCTTCTTTTAAAGAAATTATGAATAGCCCAAGTTAAATGCCCAGTTAAATGGAGTTAAATCCCTACTTTTTTCCAATGTCTGCACTTATGCGTCGCCAGGACCACCACGACGGTGGTGATGCCGGAGGAGGCTGGATTTCGAGCTCTCCTGATGGGTCTCACCGCCGAGCAAAGGGCACTTATCGGGCGATTGTTGGTGGAGATAGACGGCCCAAGAGAGCCGTTTAATCCTGCTCCGGACCCACCGCCCCCACCCCATGCTCAGGATCCTTGTCCACAGAAGTGTCACCAGTGCAGGGAGCAATGGTGCACTCGAGGCCTGGAGCCACACAAGCACCACAATTGCACCCGATGCTTCCGCAAGAGTCGCCGGGGCTAGAGGGCAAGATGGCATATCCATGGCATGTATATATAATATGCTATGAAGAAAAGGGAGCTGCAATTGCTGCATTTGCAAGTGACATGCATATTCAGGTGCTGCATTTGCTGCATTCCCCGTACCTAAAACTTGCCAGTGCTCAGATCTTTAGCTTAAAGTCTCACCCTTCTACAGGTACCAACTTTCTGAGGATGCTCGCAATAAGTATCATGGCGAGCCTCCTGCCCTTGACCGCTTTGGTCATGGGGGTTACCCGACACACGGCGAAGGCCAAGGCCAAAACCGGGGCGAGCAAGGCCAAGGCCAAGGCTAAGCCCACGGCAGCGAAGGCCAAAACGCAGCCGGTGCCCGTGACCGTGAAAGTCGAGCCGGGTGCTGAACAAGGCGAAGCCTCTGAGAAGGCAAAGGACCCCGTCAAGGGCAAACTCAGCAACCTGGTAACACAATGCAAGAATGCAGTGAAGAAGTTGGAGGATCACGACAGCGGCAAAGCAACTCTCAGCGAAGAGGAAGTCGGCAAGCTCAGAAGCAAGAAGAAATTCTGGGACGACTATTGCCAATTGCCTCGGAATGCCACCGAGCAAAGGATGCAAATGCTCTCCTCCTGGGAGCAAGACAAGACAGGGAAGATGTGGGCCGAGAAGATCCAGTCCCTGGAGAACGACAAGGCGACCACCGCCAGCAAGGTGGGTGGGTTCTTGTCTCGTGCCTTGGCCTTGCAAGTTGTTTCGAATACAGTGTGTGTTCATGTATATATATATATATATATACATGCAACTAATCAATTGAAGTCCGCAGGAGTTCTCCGGAACTCCTAAGAACAATTCGCAAGAAAGCAGCCGAACAGATCGATTGGGCGATCAGGAGAGACTAAGTAAGTCTTAGCAATTAATATACAAGGAGGTTGCAAGGTAGGTTCGTTGCAGCCTCCTTAATTGTTCTGGTGGGATTCCATGCACTTATTGCATCGATCTCGAGCATCAAGTAGCCAACCATATGCATGCTCTCCTGGCTGTATACAAGAGGATGAAAAGGTTGCGGTGTGGGGTCAGAAGAAGTTTGTATATGTCTTTATAGATCGCATAGCTCTGTATCTACTGTAGTTTCTTGTTTTAGAGAATATATATGGAACATGCAGGCATACATAATACGAGGATGGGCATGCTTGGCTTCTCACCCGAGGTTGGGAGATCGCCGACCAGGAGAACCTGAACCTTCAGATCCCCGAGCAGAAGAAGCTTTGGGAGTCCATCCTCGAGGAAATCCCCTATGATGAGGAATGGAACCAAGAGGATAATCGTGAGCGAGCCCTTGCAAAAGCCGGGGAACGTCGCTACCACTACGGCAAAACCAAGATGACAACGACAACGGACACAGTTCGTCACAAAGAGACGATGCAGGCCGGGTACAACCTGAACGACAAGGAGAAGAAGCAGGCCCTGCAGGACAGCCCCAATCAGCCTTCAATCGAGGTCCGGGATCCCCTTTTGGTTGCCTTGAGGCAAGAGCTGCAGACCATGAACTCCGGGAAAAAGGCTGTCGAGAGAAACCTGAGCACGATCAAGGATCTCCAGGTTTTCGCGAACACTAAGGGCCTGAGCAAGATGAAAGATGCTGCCGCAGATGCCCTCACACCACTCGACGAATTCCTGGTCACCTTGAGGGAGGACTTTGCAAAGCTCGATGCCCTGGACGTCGGGAGCGAGGAGTCGGTCCAGCAGGCCAAGGACATTAACATGCAGGCAGGTGTGCACGTGGATGCTGCTGGCAGAGTCATCAAGAAGTTGAAGACGATGAACGAGTGAAGGCAGTACTAGGTCTTGCTTATAAGGTTCCTGGTTTTTGAACAAAGGAGCGGCGGCATGCATGGACGATCGCTGCCAGGCAAAAAAAATCACCAGATTTTGCATGCACATGCTGCATGTGCACGGCTCGACCATGCACTGTCTTTGTGTACTTAATTGGTGTTCGCTGCAGCCGTTTGCCTCCAACTTTTATATAAGTTTTGTTTCTTTAAATCGATCATGATGCAACAAGCCCTCCGGCTCATCTGCAGGAGGTGGACCCTCCTCAGAACAAACCGAAAAATAAGCGATCTCCTCATATACAAAAGCCCAGCTCAGTCGCCAGGAGTCTTTGTTTAATTGACTCCTCATATCGGTTGCAGTCCAGAGCCATGTTGCCTTCGAAGAAGCACCAAACAGATTTGAAGGAGGTGGAAGCTTCAAAAAGGTTAAGAACACGCATCGGCAATTTGATGCTGAGCAATACCATTTCTGGTATCGAAGCTAGCCGCCTTTTTCGAGATGCGGACTTAGCCAATGCAGAAAATGTGAAGGATTTGGCTGCATGTGGCACCGGCCGAGCGGATGACATCCCTAAGAAAAGGGATTGGGGCGATGGGGTTCCGATCACTCGTGATCGTACCCAATCGGCGGAAGTCTTATCCCTCAACATTCTCAGCCACTCTCAGCGAGGTGCATTGCGATTTCCCTTAGCCTTGATGCAAAAGCATTTGATGTTGAAGGAGTTCACATGGGATGCTGTCCTGTCGATCATGGCCTGGTCCTTCGCTTTTCTCGCAGCAGGCATTTCGCCATCGAGTCGCCACGATGGGACGGCATGGTTGCCTAGCGACAAAGCAAGGAGGGCACGAAGCGGATTGCAACTACCCAGGGCATTCCTGATTCAAGTCCGAGGCGACTGGGCCTTCTACAAGCAGACGTTGTACATGCCGGCCTGGCCAGCAGCAGCTGCATTGGTTCGATGCTTTAAATTGCTTTAAGATTATTTGGCTTTTTAAATATAGGAGATAGGAGGGTCTCCTTTATGCTAGCCTCCTTTATAAAGGAGGCTCGCTTATACAAATGTTCATTTAAATTTAGATATGCTGGAAACGTAAATATATAGAGCTATTTTTTGGGTGATATGTTATAAGACATGCATGATCATAGACATCGATGATATATTTTTCCATCTAAGGAACAGGAAAGATGGCTGCTGCTGGTTGTGCAACATCAAGCCCTCCGAGCTGCATATGGTGGCTCCTAACTCTCCCTGGATGCACAATCGCAAGTCGCACTGGGATGCCGTGTGCGAGATGCCCAGGAAGAGCCCTCTGCTGGGTTCTCCTTTTTTTTCGCTGGCAATGTGCCAGCTCGATTGGCTCCACATAGTGGACATCGGGGTGGCCCTCGAGTTTCAAGGAAGCTTATTTCACTACGTGTGCTTGAAGAAACTGCAAGGCAACCTGCAAGTGGCATGCCGTGAGCTGTTTTTCATGATCAAGGAATATTATTCCGCCAACAATGTCGGAAGCCAGTTGGGCGAACTGAAGCCCACTATGCTCAAGGGTAAAGGAAAACCATACCCAAAGCTTCGAGCGAAAGCGGCGGAGAGCCGAGCATTGGTGCCGTTCAGCGAGATCCTGGCCCAGGCCGTGCTAGTCCCCGAAGATCCCTTCGACAACGTGCTCATGAAAGCTGCCAGCTCCTTCGCTCGCTGCTACGATCAGCTTTCCAAGGACTCCTTTCAGCCGGCCACTTTGGCACAGGAGGCCTTCGAATTCGCTTCGAGATACGTGGATCTCAACAAGGAGGCGGAGAGACTAGGCATGAAGCTTTTCAAAATAAAGCCTAAGTTGCACATGTTTTTGGAATTGTCTTACTGCTGCACCTGCTCTCCTTCAGCGAACTGGTGCTACAGGGATGAGGATTTTGCTGGCAAGGTTGCAATGGCAGCTTTTCGGCGAGGCGGTGCCAACACCGTGCGAGCACTGGCAGAGTCTTACTTCTTACGCTGGAAATCCATGTATGCAGTTCCAGAATTGTGCTGATCCATCGGCTTCTCGATCTGCGAGTTGGGAAAAAGTCCGACTAATTCATGCACGCTCATGATATCACGAATATACTATTATTCGACACTTTATAAACATACTCATATTGTAGCATGCATGATCGATATATATATATATATATATATATATATATATATATATATACACATTTCATGGCATGATCGCATGTGCATGGAGGCCCATGTGGTCTCCTCATTTCTAGAGGAGACCTGCCGGAAGACATCGATCTCCTAGCTGTGCACTTATAATATCACATGCATGCATGCATTTGCATGGATTTCTGCATGTCGGTCATGTTTAATATTCATGAATGCATACAATTATTTATATATATTTAATAGTAAAACAAAACATAGCCATATATTCGACTTCCTGAGCACTGTCTGGGGGAACAAAACTATGCCCAAAAATTTGCAAAGCAAAAGAAAAGCAAGGGAAACATCAAGTCGCGCCTATCCTCGCCCTGCACACACGCCGTTGTCGCCCGAACCTTCCTTAATTTAGGATTGTGTGAATCTATTCTAAATAACGGGTGTCTGCCTTAATTAAAGCTTGCTTCCTTATATTTTAAGGACTATAGTGCTTAAATAAGGAGTATACTCCTTATTTGAGGAGTGTACTCCTTAATTAAACTTGTGAATAAGGACTATAGTCTTTAAAAAGTGGTCATTGCAACTTTTAAAGACTCTTGGGCCTTCTGGGAATATTATGCTTGCAACAGAATTTACACATGTGCGCGCAGCGGGTTGCGACGGGCGCGCAGGAGTACATGTGGCGGTCGTTTACCACCCAAAACCAAATATACCCAGGGTACGCGCGCCGGGTGTGCAGCGGGCGCGCGCCGGGCGCGCAGCGGGTGCACGCTGGGCGTGCCGGACGTGATAATACAATTCTTTAGTCTGTTTGCAACGTGTACAGGTCTGCGCGCCGGGAGTTGAGGCGAACGCGCTCCGGGCGCACAGGCGTACGCGTGCCGGGCGCGCAATCTTGTAGTGGTACCGGCCGGATGTTTAGGGGTTAGGGTTTATGCAAACATGAGCAGCCGGACGAGCCTCCAAACACAATGTCGATCTTGCCAGCGAATTTGGCATGAAGAAGGCTTGACCTCAGGTCGACGAGTTCAGGGTTTAGGTCCAGCAATTTAGTAAGGCACGTCAAGCAATTTGTTAAGCAAGTGAGACGTTTTTTCTCACCATTGCTGGTTTATTGTGAGACTGTGTATCCGTACATCAGTCCCTTTTTAAGTTTTTTGTGAGACTGCGTATACGTACAGTCCGTCTATACGTTGAGGACTCTTCCATGCCTGCGAAGCAGAGACCAAAGCTGATCTCTGTACGTGTCCGGCATGCCCAGCAAAACCATTGCCAGGAACCTCACAGCGAACAGTGGACTGATGACTTCGCAATATTGAACTGCCAGCCGTCTAGCATCCGTCACTGGAATCTGTTCAATCTCAAACGACAAAGCCAGAATGCCCTCGCAGAGCCTCACCATAGTTCCTCGATCAGGCAAATCCCAATCCCGGCTCTGCTCAACCAATCCCCGCAATCTCTCTGCATCTACCGGGTTCACTTCCATTTGCAACTTTCCTTGGAGTACGTTGCATTGTCGAACCATGCTTACTTTCTGTCTTGTTGGAATCCGTTCCTGTACACCTGCTTCCACAATATCACCTGCAGAGGATCTGCGTCTGTGGTGCCTGGTTTCGAACTGCTGTAACAGTCCTCGTAGTTGCCGATCGGTCAAATCCCGCTCCATTAGCCATCCTGTTGCCAAGTTCACCATGACACATCCCAACACCAGGTCGATGCAGATTAGATTGAATTCCTCTCTCGTAAACATGTTTCCTCCCATCTGCGTAGTGGCATCGGCAGCGGGTCCGTCGCTATAATCCGAAGAATAAGGGATAGTTGCATCATCAGAATCATCTGAATCAGTTCCTTCAGGTCCATGAAGCCTGCCAAAATCCGTTCGATCCATTGCTGCAATTCCGTGGCAGTACGTCGAACTGGGGCACTTCTTTCCTAGTCTTGAGTTTGACGATCTGCGTGTATGCGCATGTCAATAACACTGCCTTGTTTGCATCAGGACTTGTGCAATCGCCTCAGAGTACTCGCTCAGAAATGGCGCTAGTGGCGCCAAGAATTAAGAAACGGTTCGAGATCTCGTTGAATCTTGAGCTGAAAAGCTGCTGCAGTCCAACATGTTGAGCTTGGAAGCAACCCACGGTGCAGCCGTCAAGTCTTGGAATGCCGGGAGGAATTAGGCCGGGGCTCTTCGAGGATCGCGATGCGCAGACTGTCTCAGCCTGGCCGCCGACAGACTGAAAGTGAGCAGAGGGATACTGATGCCATGCATGACTTTCCTTCTCTTCCTTCCCTTCCCGCCTCCCTCACATCACTCCTTGCTGCCTGCTCATTCCTCACATCTACAGTCACACCCTCATCTTGATCATTCCTTCTTCCTTCCCTGCTTCCTTCCTTCCTTGCTTGCTGCTTCGTTAATTATTTTCGCTGTCTCTCTCTCTCTCTGCATCTGTCTTTGAGGGTCCGGCTCACCCTTGCTCGGGGTTCATCCTCGCCCCTGTTCGGGGTTCATCCACACCCCTGCATGGGGTTCTCACGACCCCTGTTCGGGGTCCAGGCTCAGCCCTTTTCGGGATTCATCGGTACGCCCCTGTGCGGGGCTGTAACGACCCCTGTTCGGGGTCCAAGCTCACCCCTGTTCGGGGTTCATCCACACCCCTGCACGGGGTTCTCACGACCCCTGTTCGGGGTCCAGGCTCACCCCTTTTCGGGGTTCATCCCGCAGCCCCCTTCGGGCTTGGTGCGGGTACGCCCCTGTACAGGGCTCCGACGACCCCTGTTCGGGGTCCAAGCTCACCCCTATTCGAGGTTCATCCCGCGGCCCACTCAGGCCTTGGCGCGGGTACGCCCCTGCACGGGGCTCCGAAGACTCCTGCTGTGGCCACCTGACATCCTGACAGGGCCTGCACGAATGCCTACAACTACTTTTGCCTGCTACCTTTTAGGGTTTAGGGTTGAAGGTTAGTTTAGGGTTTCGGGTTTTGGATTTAGGGTTCAGGGTTTAGGGGTTTAGGGGTTAGAGGTTTAGGGGTTAGGGGTTTAGGGGTTTAAAACCTCTTTCCTCATAATGCCTCCTTACCTACATGCCCGCCTACCTAGCTATCTATCTACCTACCTACTGACCTGGAAGCCTGCCGACGCACCTACACCTACAAGTACCTTCCCTCCTGCCTATCTACTTATCCATACCTACTTGCCTACCTAACTATACCTCTCTACCTACCTGTGTGCCCCTTCCTACCTGCAGCTTCTGGGCTTGAATGGATGGGCGGGTTTGGGGGTTGGATAAGTTTAGAGTTTAGGGTTCAGGGTTTAGGGCATGGGCTGGACGTTACGAAAGTTCAGATTCCCTTCATGTTTAATCATGAGCATGCTAATTTTCAAGTCGTTGTGAATCATACAAAAAGCTGACTTTAGGGTTTCAGAACATAAAATTTGAAGTTTCTTGTTTTCGTTGAGCCACAAGAACACCAAGTTGCATTTGTTTGGTTTGCTCGGCACAAACGAATCTTCAAAATATTTTAATCTTCAAAAATATCTTGCAACAAAGAAATTCCATGTGAACTACAAAACTTGGGACAGGCAATTATGTCAGTATGGCTTTGATTTTTCGGTGTACATGTTTTCACATTTCGATCAAACCAAGTTTCAGGCATTGATTTTTCTATCGAGCCACAAGCACACATCTTTTTATACATGTCCAGGTATGCATCTCCATTTGGAAGAGACCAAGTTTTCAGGTTTTGTTTTTCCATTGAGCCGCAAGAACAACACAAGTTTTCACATGTCCAGCATGTCTTCCATTGAGCCACAGGAACACATGTCTTGCTACATTCCATGTCACATCCAACATAATAAGTCCTAGGACCCGGTTCCATAATGGAAAGGACCCGGTTAGCCCCGGACTGGCATATAGGCCATGTGACATTACGTCATGTTACGTTACGTTACGCTACGTATGTAATTATGTCTGTATGTATGCATGCGTGCTAGGTCCCAGGTTTTGCCATGCTATGTATCTTATGATATATGATGTTGTGTTTGTTATGTTTGCATGTGTGCCTTCATGCATGTGTGTTTGTATGCTGTATGCATGCATACGCATGCACGCATGCGTACATGCGTGGATGGATGGATGGATGGATGGATGGATGGATGTGTGTTATGCTATGCTATGCTATGTTCTGTTATGCTTTGTCTACGTTATGTTATGTTTTGTTATTTGTTCATGAATGCTTTTATGCATCTATGTATGTATACATCATGCATGCATGCATGCATGTGTGTATGTATGTACGTACGTTTGTATGTATGGATGTATGTATGTGTGTGTGTTTGTCTGTGTGTATATGTGCTGACATGTAGGTATGTGTATGAGTATGCATGTTGCCCAAACAGTGTGGTAACAAGGTATAGGCCCTCATATATAATATAGAGCGTGTTGATGTAGGTGTCCGCGCGGCGTCGCGCGGCGTGTGAGCAAAACAGGCTCCCGGCGTCCTATCATGCACAGCAAATGCTGCAACCCTGGTCCCCATGCGTCTTCTTGTTGGCTTACGAAACCTGAATCGCAGCAGTACTTGGGGGAAGCGCTATCGGGTGTTCAGGACGTTGCAAGCCAAGGGGCGGAAGCCGGAAGCAAAAGTCTCGTGTTCGCGAAACGCGCCAGTACTTTCGGGAAAGGAGTTTCGCGGTGGTTCGGGACCCGCCAGCCGCCAACATGTGCACAAGCATTCCCAGCGTTCTCTCGCTGCAGCTCTACAGTATTTTGGGGAAAGCCTTCCGGTGTGCGCTTCACTGCTCCAGTATTTCTCCGTCCGAACTCCAACATCTCCTCCGAGCAGTTTCGCTGAAGCCTTAAGTGTTGCTTCAGATCTAAAGCCTTTCCCAAGT